GCCATCTGTGTATTTGGTGCTAATTAAATTTAGGTTCCTACCTCTCACTGAGACTGAGAGATAGGAGCTCAGTCTTCCTTGATGAGTACATTTTAAAGGGATTGCTCACAGTTCCTTGAGAAAGACATTTTTGAGCTGTAAGACTGGCGAGGCAAGATTTACATCTCAAAGTGGCAGAAAAAGAATTTGCAGGCAACCCGTTGCAAGGTTGCTAAAGTAAGTGCTCTAAGAAAAGGGAAGTCTGGGGCTTAGAGACAGAAATCTATCAGTTAGTTGAGCGGAGGGGGACATTAAGACCATCTTTGTTACCATCTTTCAGAGGAAGAGAAGACAGAAAATGTCCACATCACAGGGGACAAATACAAGTTATGGATTAACTGAAGACAGTACATTTCCAGAGGTCCAGAAATGATTTATTTGATCTATCTTTACTAAATAGGCACTTGAAAATGTGTTTGAATAAAGGAAGAAAAGAATGAATGTATGAATGAATGAATGTGCCCTAGAAGTATATGGCACTATTTTCCAGAATTCATCCTGAAGGGTTTCTTGCCTCTCTCTTTCCCTTCAATGAACTGTGCATAAAATGAGACAATACTCATGTTTTAGATGCTAAATGAACTAAAATTAATTTTTGTTTTTATCTTTAGTTCATTAAATTTCTGTAAATGTTGTTTTAAAATTTTACAACTGTGAGCAATGGCTGAGCAGGAAAACATAGATTCTGAAATAGGCAAAGTAAAGATCTTTTCCTTAGAAATATGATACCCCAACCAGAATGCAACCTCTTGTGATAGAGAATTTGTTACAGGAGAGTTACAAAATATTCTTCTGCCAAGTTTCATGAAAAGTTCTAGATTGATAAAATCCACTGAATGCATTTTCTACGAGCAAATATTATTAAGCTTGCTTTAGTCCTGCTGTATCCGAAGCACTGAGATGAATAATATGGTTTCTGCCCTTTAGCATTGACAGTGTAGTGGGGAAAGAGACAAATAAACAAGAGATTGTCACTAATGTGGCAGGAGAGAACATAGAGGAATACACATCCCTCTGGTTCAATACCTGCAGAGACTACAGATTACCGTGCCATTCATCATTCAAAATGTATTTATTGAGCACTGTATGTAAGACATACTTGTAGGTCCTGGGATTTAGCAGTGAACAAAACAGACAACTTTCAGAGTTTATGTTATAATGAGTGGAACAGACAGTGAACAACCAAATATGTAACATAAAGTCAGGATAATGATAAATGCAATGGAGAAATTAAAAAGCCTGGAAGGAAGAAAGAGAGTAACAGGAAACTCTTATTTTAGATAGAGTGTTTAGGGAAGACTTTTCAAGGAGATAAATTTTGAGCAGATGTTAGAATGAAGTAAGGAAGCAAATCGTGCCAGTATATGGAAAAGAGCATTTCAGGCTGTGATAATAGCAAGTGCAAAGGTCCTGGGGCAGGAGCATGTTTGGCATATGTCAAAACATCAAGAAGGGCCAGTGTAACCAGGACAAAGAGAGCAACAAGAAGACTGAAGGAAATAAACTAGGAAAATGAGCCAATGGACAGATTATATAAAATCTTATTAAAAAAATGGTAAGGACTTAGGACTTTATTCTGAGCATGATGGGTATCAATGGAAGATTTTGAACAAGAAATTAACATGATTCAGTTTTATTGGAGCTGCTCAAGACTTGGGTGAAGCTGGTGGGCTAGATAAGGAAAGATTTCTAAAGACGGAGAAGTCTTAATTTCTTCTAGAAAGACTCATAAGAGCTAGCCAAGTGAATAAGTTCAGCCGGGGTTCTGGGAGTAGGGGATGCGGTAGAAAAATGTGGCAGGCAGAGGGAGCGGCATGCATAAAGTCTGAGGGCAGGAGCCATGGCAGTGCCTTGACTGGGCTGTTTATTCAGTATGTAGTACTAGAGGCACAGTGTCAAGGGTCTGTGAGATTTCAACGATTGGCTAAAATGTTTGAGGTAAAAAAAAAAAACAAACCTTTTTTTTTCTTTTGGTTATTAAATAGAAAAGGGGAGGCATTTTTAAATCAGAACAACCAATAACTATATTAAAATATAGTAAAAACTTAAATGTAGACTCCTCAAAAGTAAGAACTTAACCTGTTTTGTTCCATAAAGAATTTCAGTACCTACAACAGAGACTGGACTGTGTTAGCCGTCTAATAATTATTGAATGAATTAATAAGTTTAACTCAGTTTTATATAATGTGGCATTATGTCAACCAGTCAACTGCAGCTCTGCTCACATCTTTACTGTTATTTGTAAACTATTTTTCACATGGAACGTCAGTTTACTGTAACATGTCCAATAAGACATAAATCTCCAAAAGGAATTATTCCTAGGGCCTCTGAGAGTCTTTAAAAGAGTCTGTATCCTACAAACCAGCAGGTAGTTAGAGAGTGTGGCACGAGTGGGTGGAACAGTAACAAATGGATCTGCAGGAGACAGGCTGTGGAAGGCTTTGCAATGCCGTAATGAGAAGCATCAGATTTCATCCTGGAGGGAATACAGAGCCATGAAAAAGTATTAGGAATGGAGTCAGAGTCACATGTTAAAAGGCGCACTCTTGTTTTCACCTTGACAATGGATTAGATTGAGATAAGACAGCAGTAATTATCAGGAGACAAGGTAAGAAGATGGTTGTCCCAATCTGAGGGTAAAATGAAGATTGATTGATCCATAAGGTCATGCCCATGGGAATAATGAGAAAGGAATTGACTTAAGTCTATTAAGGAGATGATATTAGTAGGAATTGGTAGCTAATTAGTTGTAGAAGTAGAAAGAGGGAAGCATTATGAATAACTCTCTGGATTGTAGTTGAGTCACTAGTTGGATGGTACTGTCTGTCTTACAGAGGAGAAGTAATGGAGGAAATGTTTATTGAATGAATCGATTGATTGATTAATAAAAAATTTCTAATTCATTTCCAAAATTAACCACCAATTGGGCCTTGTGTAAATTACTTTAATCTCATTTCCCTCATCTGCTAAACAAGGGCAATTGTATCTACTCAGCCTGCCTCACAGAGTTGGCTTGAAGAACAAATGTAATATTGCATTTTCTAATTTTGAAAATACTTAACATTTTATACATACAAAATATTACTTGTTATAAGGCATGATTTTTCAAGTGGACCTTCTTGAACCCACTATAAATACATTTTTTAAAGGATATTACAAATGCTGTTGAATCAGTATGCTTCTCCCCATCTCATCCTCAGCCATTATCACTATCACGAATTTTATGCTTAACATTTTCTCACTTAAAAATAGTTTTATTTATATGTGCATATATCCTCAAACAAGATATAATAAAGTTTTTCTTGTTTTTGAGTTTCATTCAGCTGATAGCATCCAGTCTTAACACACCTTGCTTTTTAGTCAATATTATGTTTCCATTATTGTTATAGAATTGTGTATAAAAGCAAAAAAAATACAAAATAAAACTAGAAACAACACAAATATCTCCCCACAAAATGACAACTAAAGCATGATATAGTCTCCCAAAGGAATATTAAATAGCAGGAAAAATTACAGTTGAATATAGCAATAGAGAATATGAATTATTACTGACTTTGAAAAACTGCAAGAAGGCATGCACATATAATAAATAATACTTTTATGAATTCTATGTAGTTAAAAATAAAATAAAAGTTTACTAAGAACAGACTTTCTATGATGACAGTGCTTAGTAAGATTTTAATAGTTATGAACAAGGCAGGAGATTGTCCAGTGAGAAGAGTCCTGACGCTTTCCTCCTGAGGTTTTCCTTTTGCCTTTGTGTAATCCCACTGAGCACTGCTCACTTCCCACCACCATTAGCTGCCAGGGGTGCTGCTTTCCTTTTCTAAAGCCTATGCGTGGATTAAGAATTTCTGGATATAGTAGGGTTCAGGAGCTAGCTGAGCTGTTTATTTTGTCCCTCTCAAGGACAAAGGCCAATTTCATTAAAATTAAAACATTACCTGGCTCAAATCTTGGGAGATTTAGTGTTTTATTTCAATAAGGGAAGCTGCTCTATTTCCTTGAGGTATTTTTTTAAACATTTATAATTTTCATATGCCCTAAATTAGATCCAGAGCTATAGAACTTATTGTTTAAGCTCTATAAATAGATGTTAAGTGTTGTAGTGCTAGATAATAAATCCTATGAAATCAAGTTATTAAAAATATTCATGTCTACAGCTAAGAAATATTCTGTTTGATTTACATATTTCCTTCCTGTATCCTCAGTATTTAAGAAGGACAACAATGATTGCTAAAATATACCAGTCCAGGTCAACACAACTTCCCTTTGACCCATACCCATTAAAAAAAGTTAGAGTTTAAATTTTTGGTAGAAAGACAAAAGAGGAAGTCTTATTTATTCTTCCAGCTCAACGTAAGCAGCATATTCCTCATCTAAGACATAACTTTTAAGTTTACTAGTATTACAACATTGCTTCACTTGTCATCTATATGTATAAATAGGTGTGTAGATATCTATATGATACATACAATTACCATGTGTCATGTTATAATTATACATATCATAGTTTATTTAAATCAATATTCTATTTCCACTGGTAATAGTTAACACTTATGTAACTTACACTCTGCCAGGCGCTATTCTAAGTGCTTTGCTGTTAAACCTTATAACCCGTGAGGTGGGTAGTCTTATAATCCACATTTTGCAGACGAGGAAACTCAGACCCAAGGCGTTTAAGGATGAAGATCAAGGTCACAAAGTTCATAAGCATTAGGTTAGACCTGGGATTCAAACCCACATGCTGGCTCCAGGGTCTGTGCTCTCAAACCTGACCTTATGTCGCCTTTACCGAATGGCTTTGTTAAATGAAGCCACTCGAAACATCAGTGTGGACAGTTAAGCTAACAACTTGACCCAAAGAAGATATTTTGAGTTTGAGTCGTTACTTTGAAAATTCATCTTCAAAGTCTTTTTGTCTTTATTAAATAGATGCAATTTTGTTTATTTCCCATTAGCAATGCCTATGGGACTGTGACCTCTTTCAGCATAAGGACCATTCAACTATTTCTACTCTCCTGAACCGGTCATGCACTAAAAAATTTGTTGAAAAGATAAGTGAAGGAGCAATGCAACACGTTGACTACTTAAAGGAAGAGTTTGGGGTAACTGGATGGTTCAGATTGAAATTTTGTTCTTGAGAAAGACTAAAATATTTTTATCTGAATTAATCAGATGGATAGGCTATATTAATCTATTTCATTGGATCAAAAGAAAATTGATGACTAGTTTAATGATCTTAGTATATTAATTGTGCCCTGGAATCATAAACTACCATAGATTATTCTTGTGATTATTTTAACAAAGTCCAAAAATTGAACTTGAAAATGTGAGTAAATAGTATTCTGATAACAACATCATTGTCTAACAGTGATTTACAAAATTTTATTCAAATATGAACATTTTTGACAGATACTAAAGTCTGTTAAAATATTACAGTATATTTAAAATCTACTAAATTACCAATTCCTATTAACAACCAGTTTAAAAGGTACAAAGTTTTCAATTAAAAATTTGAAGCATTTGCTGTTGTGTACAAATAAAAACCCCTAGCATTAGTGAAATATAGCTAAATATTAATCCTCAAAATATTTTAATGGAGGTAAACATAAGGGAAGCATTTGTAGGGTTCCCATCTTTGTCATCCAGCACTTACAGATACAAAATACACATAATAAAGGTAAGTCAGATTCCTACCCCACCAGTCTCTGTATAAGAAGTCTGGCCCTGTTGTCACAATGGCTCTGTTCAATCAGTTAATATTTATCACACTGTTGTTATACAGAAGGCACAGTACTGAGTTCTCCATAATAGCACATTGCGTGTAAAGGTAGTTTAAAGTGCTTCCAGCCTTCACAAGTATTGTCATGTTTTGAGTTATGAGGTAGGCAACATTGGCGTCCTTCTTATCATGTTACAGATATGAAAACTGAGGCCCAGCGTGGTTAATTATACTATCCAAAGTCCCAGAAGTGGTGGTGAAACTGGGGCTACAAAAGCAATAATGGTAATAATAAAAAAGGAGAGAGGGAACAGAAATAGCCCATCAAAATGTTCTGCTTCATAAAAGTCTTGATTTGAAAGCAATGTTAAATGGCTTGGTCATACATGGAATACACACCAAACTCACTTTACTATTAAGGGTTAAGTTTCTTTTGATTAGTACAACAGACCAACTTCCAATAATAATACTCTTTTTAAGTATAATTGACATATTCTTATATCATACTTTTCTCTCTTCTTGCTTAAACTTAATAGAAAAAACAATCTTCCAAAAAAAAAAAGGCACCCAAAGAATAAATAGGGTATGTAATGAGCAACCATTATACATGATTTCTTCACTCATGTGGAACCCCTATAAGCCGCTAATGAGTTCACCACTTGTGAGGTACTAAGGCCTTTTGTTTCAACCAGGTTAATCATATTTTATGACCAACCATTATGTCTCTTCCATTCATGTATACCACTATTTCATTGCTAGGTACAGTATTCATACTTTATGGTCCAATTTATTATTTGGCTGCATCTGAAAACCAAGACTATATGAATGTTTTATTTGATATGCAAAATACACTAAAGTTACTGTTACTTTTATAAACATGTAATAAATCCTATAAAAAGGCATATTTTAGAAAAATAAGAAAATTGAGTAGGGAGTTCTTAAGCTTTCCCATCCTCACTGTCAATACAGTGAGCGTGCAAAAATTCATCTGGCCCAATATTGATAGTAATAATGGCTCCTATTTATTGAGAACCTTCTCTGGATCTTACTCTTTATGCACATAATTTTATATTCATCATTTCAGCTAACTGAATCTTCACATTGGACATATACAATAGTTATCATCACTTCATAGCTGAGGAGACTGACATTCGCAAGGATAAGTAACTTTTCCATGTTACAGAGCAGCAAATTTGAGTTTTATTCCATCCTGAACACACTGTCTACTACCTCATAGTTTTTCCTTACCCCTCCTCCTTTCACCCTCTCAGATCAGCTTGCTGAGGTTCTGTCTTAATTCCTGCTCCATCATCTCTGCCACTCATTTATTTAGTTATTTAGTGTCTATTTTAAACTGGAAGACCTTTCTAAGGAAGTGACATCTGAGCTGGACCACAAATGACATGAAAAAGACACCAGGTGATCTGGGGCTGGGCGTTCCCAGCAGAGGGAACACCATGTGCCAAGGCCTAAGGCAGGAACAGGTTTAGCATGTTCAAGGAATAGCTGGAATGCCAGCAAGGCTGAAGTTCAGTGAGCCGAGAAGAAGATGGTAGTAGGAGATGGGGGTTGAAGAAATAAACAAATACCAGGTTCCATAAAGCCAAACAGATCCTGAGAGTGTATGGTTTTAAGTGTCATGGAGACCACTGGAAATGTATGGAAATGTCCCAGTCTTATCGCAGCCAGTTTAGCTCATGTTTACCACAAGCTGCCATCTGCTATCCTATAGTGATGGAGCAGCCACCTCTACCATCAGTTACCCTATTAAAATTGCTTCTGTTTCTTGTGGGTTTACCTGACAGATTCCGCCTCCTGATACTGATGCCAGAGTCACATTAGTTTGGTACACATTTGGGATGCCTTGGCACTTCCCTGAGTCTGCTGTACCTTTCATTAAAATTACCTTTACTTTCTCCACCCTGACGCTACTAATCTCAGGTATTAGAGGGGGGAGAGGGTGGGAGATAATTCTCTTTGAAGTGGGGCTAACTGACACCACTTACTAAACTCTGTAAGAAATATTCACGTCTTTAAAGGAGAAATCATGTTAACCCCAAATGAATTTTTAATCTGTAGGGTGTTATAAGTTCAATAAAGTGTGACTTGAATTATAATAGGGTGACTAGGGAATCACCACATATACACCACATATAATTCTGCTTTTCAAGTTTCTTGACTTCATTACCTTCTAAACAGTTCTTTAAAAGCTCCAAAATTTTTCCTACACTCAGTCTCTCAGCTGTGGTATTGGGAAGAGGGAACCAATGAGAAGAAGAGGATGAGTCAAAGGCAACTATTTTTAAGTGCAGATTAGTTGTAGGTGCATAAATACAAGTATATATTTATGCAGAGAAGGTATAAAAGCCCATTTCCAGAGAGAATGAATTCTAATATACAATGAAAAGCTTCAATATTAATTAAAATTTGAATCCAAATATTATTCATAAAAAATATTCCAAGTCGTTTCTATGGTCTTGAAAAGTAGTTATTATTTCTCTAGTGTTTTGCCCATAATTCAGTCAAACTGGTTAAGGGAAAGGAGCTAGGGAAAGCAATTATTTTATTATACATGTATTTGAATGTAGAGGCCTGGTAATTACTTTAGATTTTATGTAAAGATTATCCTTTAGAAATTTTCATACATTTAAAAAATTCAGAAATTGTACTTCTCCTAACACCTAACATTAAGAAGTAGCTTTAGTGACACCAAAAATCAAGAAAGAGAGAGACGTAGGAGCCGGGAAAAGTGGGTGCAGCCCAGGAGAGCAGTGAAAGGAAGGCCCAGAAGAACTGCTGGGCAACAGACTAACAGTGAAGCAACTAAGCCCAGATGAGGCAGGAAAAATGGGAAGACATTTTGGGGGAAAAGGTCATTTCTGATATGACAGAAAGTCTGGGAAAAAATGACAAGGTCATAGAGCATAAGAAAAAAAGAAATGTAACAAGTAGCGCCATGAAAACCGAAATTAAAACAGTAAATAAATAAATAAATAACAGAAAATAAATAAAACTGAAAGTTTTAGCTCCATCGTGTGCAATAGGAACAGGCCTAATTATGTAAATATGCGTCATTGATTTAACTAAAAGGGCTATATAATTATAGAGGAGAATGTGTGAGGCAAGGAGTTGAGGTCATTTATCAGCTAGATTTCTCGTCTGTCTTCTCGGGAACTGAATACATGTTTCAAACAGATACATCAAGAAATGGTCTGTATATTAATAGAGATGTTTGAAATACAGTAAGAGGGTCAAAAGTGATCCCAGCTCTGGTTATAATCACTAGACTGTCTCCTCCTGTTTCCTCTGACGTGCATGACTTGTGTCTGTACTAGAATGTATCCCTATGGAATTTCTTTTTTTATTATTCCTTTTTTATTTTTATTTTTACTTGATTGATTGATTTTTTTAAATTGAAGTACAATCAATTACAACATGTCAATTTCTGATATACAGCACCATGTCCCAGTCATGCATATACATACATATATTCGTTTTCATATTCTTTTTCATTCAAGGTTATTACAAGATATTGAACGTAGTTGCCTGTGCTATACAGAAGAAACTTGTTTAAAAAATCTATTTTCTGATGTCAGTCCCATTTATGGAACTTTAAAGAATTGCTCAGATATAGTCTTACTACCATATTGTCTCATTCATTCAAGAAACACATCTAATGCTTGCTATATACTCGGTAGTGTGGTAGGTACTAAAACTATGAATCGGTAAACTTAATAATGAGAAATGGATTATATTTTTTTAGTTAATTTGGCTTTACATGTAGATAAATGCAGGGGGAAGCAACTAGAAATGTGGTATGTGGTATGTAGGGGGCAGTTTCAGAGGTTTTCTGTTGACTTTGAACTGGACCCCCTGTGTGTATCTTTGAACAAAATAAGCAAACCAAAAGAAAAAGAGACAAATAGAAATATAGTTCCTACTTCTTTGCTGTAAAGCATTGTTAGAAAGTTTCTGGACTAGGGACCATAGTTTTAGTTATTTGTTCTGCAATAATCTTTCTATTTCCATCAGTTACTCTAGATACACATTTCATAAAAAAAAACTATTAGCATTAAACTGTTGGAAAACAGTCTTGGTGATATTTCTAAAATGCATTTTGGATCATATCAGTCATCTAGTTAAAATTTTCCAGAAGTTTTACTTTGCCCATGTGATTTCTTTTCCATATCTTACCCTTCTTTTGCTGCTTTTCCTTCCTTCCCCTTCTCTTTTTTCCTTTCTTCCCTAAACTAGTCAATGATAAAGCCACTGAATGAGACAGAGTAAGGCAGGCATCTGTGCATAAGAGTTGCCCAAAGCGGAGAGTCAGGGC